TAGGGCCAGGCGCAGTGGCTCAAGCCTGTAATCCCAGCACTTTGGGAGGCCGAGGCGGGTGGATCACGAGGTCAAGAGATCGAGACCATCCTGGTCAACATGGTGAAACCCCGTCTCTACTACAAATACAAAAACATTAGGTGGGCATGGTGGTGCGTGCCTATAATCCCAGCTACTCAGGAGGCTGAGGCAGGAGAATTGCCTGCCCCAGGAGGCGGAGGTTGCGGTGAGCCGAGATTGCGCCATTGCACTCCAGCCTGGGTAACATGAGGGAAACTCCGTCTCAAAAAAACACAAACAAACAAAAAAAAACAACAAAAAAACTGGTGTTAGAAGGATTCTCCCTTGTTCCTTTTCTCCCCACAGGTTCTGAATCAAACGGAGGATCACCGCCAGAGGGTTCTGCAGGCGGCCGCTAAGAACATCCGTGTCTGGTTCATCAAAGTGCGGAAGATGAAGGCCATTTACCACACCCTGAACCTGTGCAACATAGATGTGACTCAGAAATGCTTGATTGCAGAGGTCTGGTGCCCTGTCACCGACCTTGACTCCATCCAGTTTGCACTCAGAAGGGGCACGGTGAGTCCCCAAAGCTAGCAGCACAGCTCGTGGCCAGGAAGGGAGGTTCCCATCAATAGTAACAATTTCATTTTTATGGCATTTCAACATCAGGGTTCCTTAATATATTTGGCTTTTAACTTGACAGTACATTTCATACATAGCTTAGCGTATCATATATATGTATCATATCAGCATAGCAAATCTTTATTTTGGATATGTGGAGACTGCAGTTCAGAGAGCTGAAATAATTTGGTCATATGCCCATGATTGTTCAGGGTCGCTTATGGCCGGAGCATCAGTTTCCTGATGAACTCTGTATATGACTGCTTCTCTTTAGTAGTTAATTAGAACAACTACCACAGAACTGCTGTAAGTGCCTGGAGGAGTACAGAGATGTTCAAAACATGCCCTCAGGTATCTTACAGTTTATTAGGAGGGTTCCAACTGTGGAGTTGGAAAAAGCTTTAAGAAGGTGGCATTTGGCCGGGCGCGGTGGCTCAAGCCTGTAATCCCAGCACTTTGGGAGGCCGAGGCGGGTGGATCACGAGGTCAAGAGACCATCCTGGTCAACATGGTGAAACCCCGTCTCTACTAAAAATACAAAAAATTAACTGGGCATGGTGGTGCGTGCCTGTAGTCCCAGCTACTCAGGAGGCTGAGGGAGGAGAATTGCCTGAACCCAGGAGGCGGAGGTTGCAGTGAGCCGAGATTGCGCCGTTGCACTCCAGCCTGGGTAACATGAGTGAAACTCCGTCTCAAAAAAAAAAAAAAAAAAAAAAAAGAAGGTGGCATTTGATCAGGGCTTTGAAGAATGGTAAGATGTTGGTAAGACTGCGGAATGAAGAGACGAGACAAAGGCAGGAAGTACAGTTAGACCATGCATGTTTGGGCAAGAACAGGATTTATAATGGGTTAGCTGAAAGAGGAGAAGAACCCGTCTGCATCAGGTAGTTCGGCACCTAACTGTGAACGGTTCATTTTATAATAACTTAGAAGATTCAGATTTTATTCCAGAGGGAGTTGAGAGACATTGGAGGTTCTTTAGCAGTGCAGGAACATGATCAAAGCAGTTTAGGTGGTTTTTTAAATTTTTTATTTTGTTTCTGAGACGGGGTCTTGCTCTGTGACCCAGGCTGGAGTGCAGTGGCGCCATCTTAGCTCACTGCAGCTTCTAACTCCTGGTCTTAAGCAGTCCTCCCACTTCAGGTTCCTGGTAGCTGGGACTACAGGTGTCTGCCATCATGCCCAGCTTTTTTGTAGAGACAGGGTTTTGCCATGTTGCCCAGGCTGATCTCAAATTCCTGGACTTGAGTGATCTGCCTGCCTCGGCCTTCCAAAGTGTTAGGGCAAGGCATGGTGGCTCATGTCTGTAATCCAGCACTTTGGGAGGCTCAGGTGGACACATCACTTGAGGTCAGGAATTTGGACCTGCCTGGCCAACATGGCGAAACCCCATCTCTACTAAAAATACAGAAAATTAGACAGGTGTGGTGGTGGGTGCCTGTAATCCCAGCTACTCAGGAGGCTAAGGCAGGAGAATTGTTTGGACCCAGGAGGCAGAGGTTGCAGTGAGCTGAGATTGTGCCACTGCACTCCAACCTGGGCAAGACCCTGTCTCAAAAAAAAAAAGAAAAATGAAAAGAAGTGAGTCACCATGCCCAGCCGATCAAAGCAGTTTTTTTTGTTTTTTTTTTTGAGACAGAGTTTTGCTCTTGCCCAGCTGGAGTGCAATGGCGCAATCTTGGGTCACCGCAACCTCCGCCTCCTGAGTAGGGTTCAAGTGATTCTCCTACCTCAGCCTCCTGAGTAGCTGGGATTACAGGCATGCACCACCATGCCCAGCTAATATTTTATATTTTTAGTAGAGATGGGGTTTCATCATGTTTGCCAGGCTGGTCTCGAACTTCTGACCTCAGGTGATCCATCCACCGCAGCCTCCCAAAGTGCAGGGATTACAGGTGTGAGCCACCGCACCTGGCCCAAACCAGTTTTAAAAGAGTAATTTGCTGATAGTATCTAGGTTGGATTGAGGAGTGAAGAGATTCTGTAGGTAGGAATTCAGTTAGGAGGCTATTGTAGAGACATAGTGTAGTAAATAATAAGGATTCCCAGGTAGGACTCGACAATGGAGAAAAAAAACAGTGATGAATTTGTGAGATGTTCTGTAGGAAAAATCAATAGGGATGCATGGCTCCTAGCAAGGTGCAGGAGAAATACAAGGAGAGATTTAAACATCTTTTTGAGCCATCAAAGCTGAGCGGCCAGGAGAATTACGGTTCCTTTGTTGGAAGTAAATGTTCAGCAAGAGCAGCTTATTGATTGGGGAAAGATGGTAAGTTCAGTTGCAGTCACATTGAGGTCCATGTGGCAATGTCAAGCAGACAAGGGGACAAAGCTAAGGAAATGGGAGTCATGACAATGGAAGGGAATGAGGCCTCCAAGAGATGGGTCACAGAGAGAAAGAAAGGTTGGGGGCCTGCATTGCTATTAGGCAGTACAGATACAACCAGCAAAGAGAGAGAAGGAATGGTTAGTGAGTAGGAGAATTCCTAAGAAAGAAAGAGTCACCAAAGATCTCCAACATGTAGGGGGCATGCTCCGGGGAGAGGGGGGAAGAGAAGCCCTTTGGTCAGGAACCAGTCACTTTGCATAAGCATGTTCAGCCAGACTGCAAGGGATTAGGAAGTTAAGGTAGTGAAGAAGGAGAGGCAGAAAACATACTCCTTTGCTTTCTCTGTGAAACAGAGACAGTAAGTTTCACAAAAAGTCTGATATGTAGGCAGTTCCACGTTTTCTGTGGTGACATATTTAAAGTTAAATTTTTTTCATATTAAGGATCTATTTCGCCGGGCGTGGTGGCTCAAGCCTATAATCCCAGCCCTTTGGGAGGCCGAGGCGGGTGGATCACGAGGTCAAGAGATCAAGACCATCCTGGTCAACATGGTGAAACCCCGTCTCTACTAAAACTACAAAACATTAGCTGGGCATGGTGGTGCGTGCCTGTAGTCCCAGCTACTCAGGAGGCTGAGGCAGGAGAATTGCCTGAACCCAGGAGGCGGAGGTTGCGGTGAGCCGAGATCGGGCCATTGCACTCCAGCCTGGGTAACAAGAGCAAAACTCCGTCTTAAAAAAAAAAGGATCTATTTCACGGGATCTAATAGAAATCTTCAATTGTAAATGTTATGCCTTGTCCCAGTTTTCCCAAAGGCTGGGAAAGATAATCTAGTTTTATTTATTTATTTATTTATTTTGGTTTTATTGAGATATAATTTACGCAAAAGAAAATACATATATTTTATGTGTACCATTTGATGAGTTTTGAGAAATATACAGCTGTGTAACCACCACCACCACAATTAGGAGGAGAACCTAATTTTGATATATGTGCTAATGTTTTTCAGGAACACAGTGGTTCTACTGTACCTTCCATTTTGAACAGGATGCAGACAAACCAGACTCCCCCAACCTATAACAAAACCAACAAGTTTACCTATGGCTTTCAGAACATAGTAGATGCTTATGGAATTGGAACTTACCGAGAGATAAATCCAGGTAAAAGAAAGCTTGTTATCGTTTTTCTCTAGAGTGTTTTTCTTTGTTTGGTTGGCTTGGTTTGTTTTGAGACAGAGTCTCCTTCTGTTGCCCAGACTGGAGTGCAGCAGCACGATTGTAGTTCACTGCAGTCTCAACCTTCTGGCCTCAAGGGATCCTCCCACTTCAGCCTCCTGAATAGCTAGGACCGCAAGCAGATACCACCACACCTGGCTAATTTTTTGTTTTTTATTTTATGATTTCTTTTTTGAGACTGGGTCTCATTCTGTTGCCCAGGCTGTAGTGCAGTGGTGTAATCATGGCCCACAGCTGCCTCAACCTCTCAGGCTCAAGTGATCCTCCTGCCTTAACCTCTGGAGTAGCTGGGGACAACAGGCATGTGTGTTACGGTGCCTGGGTAATTAAAAAAATTTTTTTAGAGATGTGGTTTCACTATGTTGCCCAGGCTGATAATTTTTTATTTTTTTTAGAGATGGGGTATTGTCATGTTGCCCAAGCTAGTCTTGAACTCCTGGCTATAAAGCAAGCCTCCTGCTTTGGCCTCCCCAAGTGCTGGGATTATAGATGTGAGCCACGATGCCCGGCCTTTTTGTTCATTGTTTCTTCTAACACCTCACTTTAAATGCTGTTGAACAACTGATTTAAAATTAAAGATGTTAATCCGAGCACTTTTGGAAGCTGAGATGGGAGGATTGCTTGAGCCCAGGATTTCAAGATCAGTCTGGGCAACATAGTGAGACCCCATCTCCATTAAAAAATAAATAAGCCAGGCGCGGTGGCTCAGGCCTGTAATCCCAGCACTTTGGGCGGCCGAGGCGGGTGGATCACGAGGTCAAGAGATCGAGACCATCCTGGTCAACATGGTGAAACCCCGTCTCTACTAAAAATACAAAAAATTAGCTGGGCATGGTGGCACGTGCCTGTAATC